ACAGTTTTAAAACTTATTGATAAATGGTCAAACATGTTTACATTTTTGAATGTTTGGTTTAATTTTCTAATCAATGAAAATATTTAACATTTTGTTGACTAAAATTAGATAGTAAAATTGACTAAACTTCATGATGACATGAAAAATTTACTTAAAATTTAAAGCAAAACAAAAACTCTAAAGAAAAAAGGTGTATAATTTAATGCTGCATATCATATTACTGATCAGTGCTGTTAGTCTGCCAAGTGTGAAAATAATTATGTGCATAATTTTTTCATGATTTTTATGTTCTGCTTTTGGTAAGACTATGAATAGCTGACCTAAGGCTGAGGAAGCTGGAAGATCCCGACGTCTGGTCTTTGCTCACATCCTCCCTCTTGTTCCCTTCAAGGGCTGAGAAATCAAACGAGTCAAAACACGAGGTCATCAGTTCAGAGCATGGAGAACCAGAGGACAGGCTGGCATCCATCTTTCCTGCAGTCAGTTCTTCTCCGTGAGCAAGCTCAACCAACCGCTTGATCAGCAGCGGCACCAGCCCGAGCTCCTGCAGCTGTTCAAGAGCAGATTCATCGTAGACGAAGTCCACACAAGCTAGAACGGCGAAACGCGTGAGCGGATGGCTTTGATGGGCAGATAAAAAGCTGATCAACACCTCCAGTCCCCCGCTCTCCTTTACTTTAGCCCTGTTCACAGCCTCTCTGCAGCAGAGGCACAGGGCCTTGAAGAACACACCTGACTTCAGAGGATCCTTTTTCACTTCCGCTGCAAACTTCTGAATGACTCCCAACGAACCGACCAGCGGCCTCAGGCAGCCTTGAGAGCACAAGTTAGCCAGAGTCTTCAAAGCTAGCTCTTCCAAAGGCCGACAACCTTCTCCTGAGGCAAGGACCCCCAGCTGAGTCAATGCCCCGGACCTGGACATCTCTCTGGCGCACTCTGCACTGCAGCCTCTGGTGAGCTCATGAATGGCACGAAGAGATGCCCGTTGCAGACCTAAAGGGTACTCTGGAGCAATGAACAAAGCGAGAGATGGAAGAGCGCCTTGTGACAGCAGCAGAAGCCGGTTGGCAGGCGTGTCAGAAAGGTAGACAAGCGTCCGGGCAGCAGACTGGACACATTCCACTTTAGGAGCACAGAGTTCAGGGGCTGGAGTCAGTGAAGAGGGAGAGGATGGAGGTGGAGAGAGAGACAAGCAGAGCAGGAGAAGTGGAACACCACCTGAGCGAGAGAGAAAGAAATATAATGATTTTAAGGCTCAGAGCGCTTTACAGCCTGTGACTGTATATAATGGAGGAGAAACATAATTATTAATATTATATTACTTTAAACATATGAAACTCTGGGACAAACCTGCAGAGTGGACCTCAGCAGAACCCTCTGGGTCCATCGCGAGATTTCCCAAAGCTCGTGCTGCTCGATTTTGCACCGTCTCCACAGAGACATTCCTCTTGAGGACATCCACTACAAAAATGAAAGATCATAAGCATTTATGATCATGACTATTTATGCAAATAAGCAGCATTTTTGTTGCTATGCGATGCCATTGAAAGAACATGTTGGTTCCCCCCAATAAAAAACTTCAGTGAAAAGTTTTCAAAAGAACCATTTTGACTTAAGTGTAAAGAAGATTTTAATACTCTAAAGAACCTTTGTCCTCTATAAAGAACCATTTGTGCAATGAAACTTTTCCATGGATGTTAAGGTTCTTCATGAAACCATAGATGCCAATGAAAAAACTAATTTTAAAGATTTAATTTTTTGCTGTGATCTCATGTGAGTGACAGGTTGCTGGGGGTCATCAGAAAAGAAATGTCATTGCAAGGGGGAGGGAAGTTATTTTGATTATAAAGATTGCTAGGGCACATACATTTATTACATAGATTAATAATAATGGCACTGATAAATCATTTATAATAATGACTGCAATATTCCAAAAATAATAAGAATTGTCAATTCTGATTTCATAATGACTTTAAGAGGAACATGTTACCGAGTATAAAATTATATATAAAAAGTATGTGGAAAATGAAAAATTTGGATCCATCTGATCTTAACAACTACAGACCCATTACTAAATTGCCAGTTTTATCATAAGTATTGGAGAAAGCTGTTTTTTTTTTCAGTTTTCCCCTTACTTAATTGGGAAAAATATACTGGATCCTTTTCAGAATGGTTTTAGATCCAAGCATAGCACTGAATCAGCCTTGTCAGGAGTGGTTAACGACTTGTTACTAGTTGTGGATTCTGGAAATTGTGCAGTTTTGTGCAGAAGTGCAGCGTTTGATACAGTGGATCACTGCATTCTTATAATAGGCTAAAAACAGAGGTTGGTATCTGTGATTCAGCCTTAAAGTGGTTTGAGTTCTATTTTACTGAGAGGAGCTTCTCTATGAAGATAGGTCAGTTTTATTCATCGCCTGCTTCTGTTATGGGTGGGGTGCAGCAGGGCTCCATATTTGGCCCAATTTTATTTGCCCTGTACATGCTCCCTCTTTGTTACATTTTTGAATTTCACAAGGTTCCCTATCACATTTATGAGGATGATACCCAGTTGTACATGTCAATAAAACGTGGGTCAAAGTCCTTATCTGATTTGCTAGCTTGTGTAAATGACATCAAAAGTTGGATGGGTGATAATTTTCTTCAGCTGAATGAAAACAAGCCTGTAGTCATTCTATTTGGCTCCCCCTGTTTGGTAGAAGGCCTGACCTCTATCTGCAAGCAAATATCCACACTTATGTAAAGAACCTGGGTGTTGTTTTTGATTCAGAGTTAAAATTCGACAAGCAAATAAACTCCGTTTTTTTTCCAGCTTAGGGGTTTACGGAAACTGAAATCTTTTCTATCTTTTAGTGATCTAGAGACAGTCATTCATGCCTTCATTGCAACAAGGCTTGATTATTTCAATGCTTTATATGCTGGTGTCAACCAGTTTTCCCCTTCACGTTTGCAGCTGGTTCAAAATGCTGCAGCTCGCTTCTTAATGGGAAGAAAAACAGTGAGCATATCACGCCTATTTTAGCACTTCTACATTGGCTACCAGTTAAATTCAGAATTGAATACAAGGTTTTGACTTTTGTATTTAAAGCCTTGCACGGTCTGGCTCCTGTTTACATCTCAGACCTTATTTGTCCATACTCCCCCCGAAGATCTCTTAGACCATCCTCTGACAAACTATTAACCGTCACATTGTCCCGCTTGAAACTGAAAGGTGACAGAGCCTTTTCTGTATTAGCCCCTAAGCTGTGGAATTCGCTACCTCGATCTGTTAGGATATCCTCCTCTTTATCTGCATTTAAATCATCTTTGAAAATGTATCTCTTTTCTCAGGCCTATTAATAATTTTAGATATGTTAGTCTTAGTGAGTTAAATTCTTAGTCTTGATTTTTATTCAGTTTTATGGTTGTTGATTTAATTTTTTTAACTCTGTATTTTTTGTATGACTGTCATCTTTTTATTGTGCTATTGTGAAGCACCTTGGTCAGCATTTATGTTGTTTTAAGGTGCTATATAAATAAAAATGACCTTGACAACAACCATGTCAGATGTCAGTATGAACAGGGCATGAAAAATTAACTGATCTTTATGAAGCCTTTGAGTGACTTACCAACAACAGATATGCCATCAAGCTTTCTTACCTATGCGAAGAATAATAATAAAAAAAGCATTAATCATATACAAAAAAAACGAAAGCTGCATATATGTAATCAATGCAAGCTATACATTAGAGCAGCATCTTTCTTACTTCTAGTCTTGTCTGTTTTTCAGTGCAGCAGTTGGCCAGGATGCTAAGTGCCAGGTCCAAAAACTTTCTGGAACTTTCTGGTCGCCTGAGGAGATCCAGCAAAGGAGGGATTCCTCCTCGTGATTGGTAGCGGGCTATCCTGCCACCACCTCCTTTGATGTGCTGCGTCCGAATGGCCACCAATGCCCTCCACTGACCAGCTTTGAGTCTCTTGTCTGCATCCCTGGCTTTGTCACCTCCAGTGACGATCCTATTTTCTGCTCCTGTCAGTCCACTGCTGTGACTGTCTGCTAATGTGCGTGTTTTGGACAGCTGAGCCAAACACCAGGTCAGAGAGGATTCTGGGAGAGTGGCGAATGCCTCCGAGGTGCTGTTCAAACTTTTTGAATGTCGTTTAACTCCTTGTTCTGAAGGTGTAGACATGATGAACCAGGAGTCCAGAAGCACCTCCCCACCACCACCCCGTTTTGTAACTTAATTATTTTATCTTCCTAATAACGTAAGGTACAACAATATTTCAGTGGCTTTAAATAACTTGGCAACAAACACTTATTCTATCAAGAATTAAAAAACGAAAAATAAATAAATAAAAGAACACAAGAACTAATACAAAATTCTCCTATGATTGACACATTCCATCCACAGAGCAACAAGCATTCGAAAAACTACAACTACCAAGTTCATTAATCAAAGCAAGCCCAGAGCAATGACTTCTGGGAAATGAAGTCTTTTAACCAATGCGATATATTTCATTACGGCCTACAGTGGGAGGTAGGCCACAAAAATAAAATCCTTGACAGTGCTGCCTGAGATTAATCTATTTGGGTGTATTTTGATGTTTCGCTGAAGAGTGAGAAGGCTTCGTTAACTTTTCATCTTACTCACGTCAAATTTCCTACGCGCTACAAAGCGCAATCGCCTCAGATTTGCACTGGCGCCATCTTTAGTAGAGCAACAAACAGGAGGGTTTTACAGAAAGGGAGGGGTATTTGTAGACTCGGTCTCTTTAAAGCTTATGGGAGTTGTAGTTTCTGGATAGCTCAATTATTGACTTATTTAATACTTAAGATAACGAAACATAAAAAACGGTGTAAATTAATGTATGCAGATATTTATTTTGCCATAAAGAAGAAAACAGCTTGTACGTTTTGACGTTCTACCTTTCGCGCGACACACCTGTAAAAACAATGGCTAGCATTTCCCACAATCCCCTCTCACACGCCATGTCCATTTCCGGAAAAAAAGCACAACAACACCCTGCTCAGCGCTGCCTGGCGCAAACGGTCGTTGTTATTATCATCGCTGTTGTCGACGCTCGGAAAGACCTCATCGCTGGAGTTGTTAAAATCCACGATTAGTCGCAATAACGCTTGACGAGATTAATCAAAATTAAATGCAACATGGAGGCCACTGAGTCAATTGTCACAGACGCCATTGAGGTGGAGGAATCAACAACTACGGTTACGACTTTGGAGACCGAAAAGTCCAAAGCAGGTAAGATGTGAGTAAGTCGATGCAGCAGTGTGTGCACCAGGCATCGCCAGCGAGGAGGACACGATGAGCCTGATGCTACAGATTGGCCTTCCCACCCGTTTTAGGTTTTTTAGAAGAGCTTCAGACCTCCAAAACAATAGATTTATTACGGTATATTTTAACTAGCATACATTCCTAACAACCGGTTTTCTAGAATATTTTAATTGCGTGTAATATTTTGCAATATGCAATAATGGTAAATAAAAGTAAAAAAAATTTTTTTTTATAGTTTTCATATAACCTAAGAGATTTCTGTCCCTCCATTGTCCTTACAGACTTATGCTTCAAAAAGTTCACAAAGTCATCAGAAAATCATATAAATTGAGCAGTTTAATCCTAGTCTAGTATTCATTTAATTTGTTAATTTTATTCATTAGCCTAAATAAATAGATTCATCAATATGGAGTAATCATGTTTCTTCAGAAAACACACACACAAGCAGAATTGTGATTAAATTTTTTTTGTTTTTCATGTTTTAACTTTTTAATGTTCCAGTTTGTCCAGTATTAAGCCTACTTTTCCTCCTAAATATTTGATTACATTCTTGTTCTGGAATAACTTAACGATCTACTCTTAATCTTTTTCATTCAGAGTTTGTGTGGACTCTGCTAGCTACATGGCATCTCGTCCACGTTCGTTTGGACATGGACCCAGAGTTTGACCAGCCCGTGTGCAAGAAGAAGAAGCTGTGGGAGACTGTGGCCGAGAGAGTGACTGCAAAGCTAAGAGCCGAGGAAGGCACAGACGTTTCAGTCAAAGCCTTCGAATGTGACTTGAAGTGGAGAAACATGCTAGCGACATATCGCAAAAATGCTGAGCGAGCCAGAAGACTGGGAACCAGCAGTGTTCACTGGGAGTTCTTCAAGGAGATGCATAAAGTGCTGGGAAGGAGCTACGAGGAGGTTGAGGCTCAGCGCAAGGCGAAGCTCAATGGCACCAAGCTGGGCAAAGCCATAGCCAGCAAACGGTTTACCCCGATACTGCCCACACCCACAGCTACAGCGCCACAGTTACCCAACGCCAGGCCTCCTCAGGATTTGCTGCAGTTGTACCTGGAGCTGCAGGAGAGGAAACTGAACATGTGGGCTCAGCAGAAAGCGCTGGAAGAGAGGAAGATTGAGGCCATTAATAACTTGGCACGTGCCATAACTTTCCTGTCCCAGAACAATACCATGCAAATGCCCAAAGAGTGTCTGTCGGACACCCCTGTTACCCAACAGTAGTCTTTAAAGATAGGAAATGCATTTTTATTTTTAGAGAAATGCCTGATATGTTGAACCCTTTTCAGAGAATTGAAAAGACTTGAACTGAACAGCAATTTGTTGAAAAATGCTTGGTTTTCCTTCAGTGTGAATTGCAAAAATATAACTGAGAAGTTAAAAATGTCACATTCATATAAAATGAGTACAGGGCAAGTTGTACATAGTATTTTTGTGTTTTAATAAAAATCATACAAAATGTTCACCACGTTTTCTGCTAAAGCTTTTTTCATACCACCAAATATTTATCAATTACACACAGAATCTCAAGAGCTTCAAAGGAATAGTTCACCCAAAAAAATGACAATTCTGTCATCATTTACATATCATTCCTAGGCTTGTGACTTGCATTTTGGTTTGACATGAATGGACCAGTGTTATCATTAACTTAAACTAAAACCATTAAAAAAAAAACATTACTTCAAATAAAATTAACATTAACTGAAATAAAATACAAAAAAAAACTCAGACATAAATTTTCACATTCAGTATTTTTGTGATTTAATAAAAATCGTACAAAATTTGGTTACATTTTATTTTAAGGTGTCCGTGTTACAGTGTAAATATACATTTAAAGGGATAGTTCACCCAAAAATGAAAATTCTGTCATTAATTACTCACCCTCATCATACCAAACACACAAAACTCTTGTTCAGCTTTGGAACAAAAATGAAGATATTTCATTAACTGAAATAAAATACAAAAAAAAACTCAGACATAAATTTTCACATTCAGTATTTTTGTGATTTAATAAAAATCGTACAAAATTTGGTTACATTTTATTTTAAGGTGTCCGTGTTACAGTGTAAATATACATTTAAAGGGATAGTTCACCCAAAAATGAAAATTCTGTCATTAATTACTCACCCTCATGTCGTTCCAAACCCATAAGACCTTCGTTCATCTTCAGAACACAGATTAAGATATTTTTGATGAAATCTGAGAGCTCTTGGACCCTCCTATAGACAGCAATGTAATTACCACGATCAAGGTCCAGAAACGTAGTGAGGATATCTGTATTTTTGTATTCTTTGCATACAAAAAGTATTCTCGTAGCTTTGTAAAATTACGGGTGAACCCCTGATGTCACAGGGATTATTTTACCGATCTCCTTGCTACATTTCTGGACCTTGATTGTGTTAATTACATTGCTGTCTAATATATATATATATATATATATACATACATACATATAAATATAAACAAAACTAGTTTAAATTGTTGTATTCATGTAAAATGAGTAATTGTATTTTATGTTAATTATTGTATTTTTTCAGTAACTGTTCGCTCCTGGTGGAATGACCTGTCCGGAGCTCTCAGAATGCATCAAAAATATCTTAATTTGTGTTCCGAAGATGAACGGAGGTCTTACAGGTTTAGAACGACATGAGGCTGAGTAATTAATGACATCATTTTCATTTTTGGGTGAACTATCCCTTTAAGTACCGAGTAATATTAATTAACTACATGTATTTACTAAATGGCTAGGATTAGGGTTTGTCTTAGGGTTGCTTGTATGTAATTATGCATAATTTATTATACAATAATAAGTACATGTACAAGGACACCTTAAAATAAAGTGTTACCCAAAATTTATCACAATTTGTTCTGCTAAGCTTTCTTCATACCACCAAATATTTACCCAAGAGAGGAAGAAATTATAGTTATAGTTCAATTATAGATAGTCCAAACAAAAATGACAATTATGTCATCATTTACATATCATTCCTTAGTTTGTGACTGTGTTTTGTTTTGACTTGAATGGACAAGTGTTATCATCATTAACTTAAACTAAAAACATAAAAAAATTCATTAATTAACATTACCTGAAATAAAATACGCTAACCGAGACTTGTCATTTGCACTTACATATTGTTGCTCTTTTGTTAGTTTTGATTGCTTCTATTGTCCTCATTTGTAGCGACCCCATTTGTAAGTCGTTTTGGATAAAAGCATCTGCTAAATGACAATGTAAATGTTAATTAAAAATCATACAAAACGTGTATCGATTTTTTTATGCCAAAACTTTCTTCATATAATCAAATATCCATTAATCACATACAGAATCTTAGAGCTTTTGAGAGATAGTTCACCCTAAATGGCAATTCTGCTATCATTTCCATGTCGTTCCAAACCCATAAGACTTCTGTTCACCTTGAAAACACAAATTATGATATTTTTTAACGAAACCTTGCTCCATTCCACCAAAACTTTGATGGTTCAAAACGTTCACAGAAAGATTGTTAAAGAAATTCACTTTTTATTTACTTACACTCTATATGAAAAACAGATTTAATTTAAGCTTCTATTCATTACCCTAAATTAAATCTGTTTTTTATATAAAGCAATTGTTTTACTTCAGAAGACTTAAGCCGCTTGATTCATATGATTTATGTCTAAAATGTAATTTTGTACTTTTTGATGAGTGAAAGTTTTGGCTTTGTGAACTTTGAATGAATGGACAAAAATGATTAAAAAAAAAAAGATAATAAAAACGTCTTCATTTGTGTTCCAAAGATGAATGAAAGTCACATGGGTTTAGAATGACAGTTTCTTTTTTTGGGTGAACTATCCCTTTAAATATGCAAATCAGTGTCAAAATCTTATTGTGGTGCTGCTTCCAATGTGCTGTAAAGCAGATTCACTACAGTCGCTCTCATTTTCACCCCAGCAGCATCTTCGTTTACCCCGTCCACATCTTCCGGTGTGCTTCTCTCTACCAGTCCCTTTGTCACGTCCCCCATGTCCAGGAAAACATTGTGTAATATACAAGCAGTCAGAACCACTGCTTTCGCCCTGTCATAGTTCCCCATATCCAAGTACCTCAATTTCTGGAATCGCTCTTTTAAGTCCGCCACAGTCTGGTTGAATCGGCCCAAATGGTTCCCCACCGATCTGTTGTAGAGGTTTTCCTGCGGGTTTTGACATGTTGAGAACGGAGTAAGTATTTGTTCTGTGAGCGGGTATCCGGCTCCGGCTATCAGGCAGGTCTCTGGAGGCACCATCTCAGGGTTTTGCCGAATCCTTTCAGCTAACGCGCTTCCTCTGTCTTTTTCCGATCCTTTGCTGATGTGGCAGTAAATGAAGCGACCTTTGTCATTGCAGACCAGTTCCAAGTTCAGCCATGAATCTGGATGTGGCTCGATCTTAGGTCTCTTGGCCTCCGGAGCGTCGCTCTCGCTGTCTGGTTTCCCAGCTGGCAGGCGGATGGGGATGCGTGTGTCGCCCAGCACGCCGAGCACTCGAGGGAGGCCTCTCTCTTCCAGACCCTCATTGCGACTCAGCCAGCTGGAGAAAGGAAGCAGATGCTGGAGGGCCTCCTGTCCTACAGGGAGAAAGGAGAAAACAATGTGTAAACCTGCTAAGTAACTACAACAGTGTTATTTTATTATCATTGATATACTACTATAGTTTTGTTCATATTTTAATTTTAAAGTTTGTCATTTTGTTCTGTTTTTGTCATTTTTATTAGTTGTTTTAAATGTTTATATTAAACAAATTTGACTAAATGAAAATGCTAAATTGTTAAGAGAAAATTTCAGTTTTTCATATTTAATTTGAGCTAGTTAATTTTAAAGTAATGAAAATGTTTTTCATGTTTTCATTTTAATGATAATATGAATTAATGCAATGTGAACACTGATACTGTATTTTGCATTGACTTATTTAATTGAATTTTTTGTTATTTATAATAGCTAAGGGGCGTTGTTGTCGAGTAATTTACAACAGTTTCGAACGCGGCTCAGCCAATCAGAATCAAGGACCGGAACTATCCGTTTTATAATAGTTTATTTACAGTGGTGGACAAAGTTACACTAGTATTTTCACCAGTTAAAAATTTTTTGACGTCAGTTATTTCTATCTTTTGCTGTAGTGTGTCAGTAGGAAATCATTTCCAAACATTCATTTTGCCATTAATTGTAATAATCCAGTGAGATTTTTGTTTGCACAAGTAGTCAGTGCTGCACACAGAGATCTGATCTGATCATCATCAGTCTGTCTGGAATGACATGAAGAAACAGAACAAACTGAGACAGACTCAATCCAGAAGAACTGTGGCAACGTCTCCAAGATGCTTCAAGAAACCTACCTGCAAAGCTACAGCACTGTTAAAAGTTTTAGGCACTAAAATGAGGCTGCTGTCAAAAATAATGTCATAAATAGATTTTCTTTATCAATTAACCCCTATTAACTAAATTAAATCAACATTTGGTGTGAGCACCCTTTGCGTTTAAAGCAGCTTTTTCCCTGGATGCACTTGCGCATAGTTTTTCAGGGAGCTTTGCAGATAGGTTTCTTGAAGCATCTATTTGTAACTGATTTAATCCTGTTCCTGCCATTAAAATAGCCATAGATAAAATAAAACAATTGTGTGGAACTGTCACCTAATTAACTTGTACCTGTAGGCCATTGAATGAGCCGATCCTTTTGTGTGATCACTTGTTCACAGAAAGAGAAGAAGATCCTGTGAATATTCCCCTTCTCCAGATGGAAACTAGAGGACACGCTGCGATAGCTGATGCGTTTGGACAGGAGGGTGAGGGACAGGAGGACAGTGTGAGACAAGGACAGTCGAGCTCTTCCAGACAATCGGTTCTTGCTGTAGCCTGTGTTGGAGCTTTGCAGAAAATTTGTCACATACTGCAAGAAATAAGACGACGAGAATGATGTAAAGCAGTGGTTCTCAACCTTCTCAATTCTAAGGCCCAATGACTTTTCCAGTTGTTCATGACTTGCTGGATTAAAGGGGTCATATGACACGATTTCATGTTTTCCTTTGTCTTTGGAGTGTTGCAAGCTGTTTGTGCATATATAAGATCTGTAAAGTTGCAAAGACTAAAGTCTCAAATCCAAAGAGATATTCTTTATAAAAGTTAAGACCCTCCTAAAACGGCTCGTTTAAACACGCCCCCACATGTCTACGTCACTGTGTGGGAAGATTTGCATAACCCCGCCCAAATGTTCATGCAAAGAAAGAAGGCGTAACTTTGATTCTCGCTGTAGTATTGTTGCCGCCGCCATGGAAGCTGATATTCCAAATATGGTAAGGGGCGTAACATTTCCGTCACCCGCTTGAGGTATTCAGCCAATCACAAGGCACTGGATAGCTGGCCAATCAGAGCACACCGCGCTCTGTATGTGTTTTTTTTT